TCACGGTTCTCAACTCAGGTAGAGTAATGAATCTCCTTTGACCAGGATACAGGGATGGGCAGGAGAGGGAGAACAGTTCAAATGATTTCATTACTACCCCTTTTAAGACTGTCTCTTATCCTCCGCTAACTCTTGGCACACAAAAATTCAAGACTCTACAGTCTTCAATCTCCTCTTGGAGAGGACAAAAAGAAATCAGTCCTGTTTTTAATTTTTAAAAATTCTAGTTGGACATGGGTGGTGCACACCCATAATCCCAGCACTCTGGGAGGCCGAGGCAGGAAGATACGCAAGTTCCAGCCCTGCCTGGGCAACGTAGTGGATTAGCGAGACCCCATCTCAAAATGAAAAATAAAAAAGACTGGGGACACAGCTCAGTGCAAAGGCCCTGGGTTCAGCACCCAGCAAGGAGGGGTACGTTTCTTCTTCCATTCTTTGGTTAGTGTTCTGTGTTTTCAGGGGAGCACACTGTGACAGGCAAGCCCTAGGGTCACTGTCCTGCTCCTGGGACTGCTGCACATGCTGGCTCTGCCGCCACACAGATGCACTGCCCCTGCTCTTCCAGCTCATCCTTCCCATCCTCCCTGCACCTGTTGCTAAGCCTCCTAATCCAGTGAAATGCTCCTACCTGCAACCTTGCTTTTCACTAACGCTGTAGACCCTCCCCCGCTTCCAAGTGCGGGCTTTTCTCCAGATCACGTTGGTGTGGACACTGCCCAGCCTCCTCCCCAGTACCAAGAGAGGATAAGAGGAACCTGCCTGTCAGGATGTGCACCTGCCCTGTTGCGCTTTCTCCTTTCTTAAGGATTCATGTTTGCGTTCTTTTAGTTTAGATTTATTCTTTGTCCGCCAAATGCCAGCTTAGAAATGTCTTTTGGCTCAGAAATGATCTCCTTTCCCAGAGCCTTTCAGGAATGAAAAGCCCTCTTATATCTGAATACTCACCATAATTACAACATATTTAGGAAGAAAAACAAATATTGGAAACTCACTGCGGTTCCCCCCCAAATGCTGTGGGGATGATTACTGCTATTGCTAGTGTTACGTTGGTGGATACCAAACGAAATGAATAACTTAAAGCTAAGTAAATAATCAGATAAGTGCCCAACTGTGTTGAAAGGAAAGTCAAAAGATCCCTAGGTGTGGGGACACAGGTGGCTCTGGAACACTGAGACCTTAAAACATTGTTGTGGGCTTTACAAAGGCCTCTGGGTAGCACTTATCCTGTCTTCATTCCTAGAGAGGGAAGAGAGTTCTCTGGGTTGTTCCATTTACTTAATTTTTGTTTCCCTTATTTAGGAAATCAAAACACTGACCTCATTTCAAAATATCCCGGAGTCTCCTAGGCTCACCATCCCAAAGTTTAGTCCCTGAATACCTTTGTCAAGAGTTTTGAGGAGGTGATATGTGTGTCATGAGACGGAAGTCTGTGCTATTTTTAAATTGATTTAATACATCACTCAAGCATATCATACACATATCATACCAGTGACACACGGGCTGCATTGTAACATAGCATGTGTCATACATACATTCTCTCTCACTCATACACACATACTTGCTCTTCTTGTCTGGCTTTTTAAAAGGAAGGCAGCCAAAAAGCCAAGCCCGGTGATTTGAGTCGAAAAGGCTGTTAAGAGTTTAAAACCCGAGTGTCCCTCTCCTTCTCAGCCTGGCTTTGAGACATGTGGGAGGGCTTCAAAGCCACAGTGCCCCTCTTTTAGGCTCAGGCTTACAGTTGGTCCCCAAATGTTTACCAGCGTGAAGATGCCTAACTTACAGGAAGTGGGAAATGGGTGTGGGGGGTGATGGTGGGTGGGTGGGTATGGAGTGGGGAGCAGGGGTGGGGGTGCTCTCTTGATGTGGTTAGCCTGTCACTGACCTTGTTTGGGTAGAGCAGGAGTTGAATTAGAAAATGAAAACACATTTCGTCTTGAGCATATTTCATCCCATTTTTTACTTTCCTTAGGAAAAAAAATTTCCCCCAAGTAGAGTCAGGTCTCCAGATCTGGGGCTCAATTTCCCTTCATTCTGTACAACAGTCCTTTTCCCCATCCAGTCACCCGGCCGCCTACATTGCAATTCGCAACCCACCCGCGGCCAGAAGGTTAAAAAACAACAACAAAAGCACTGGCCCAGGAGCTGAAACTGAATTAGCACTGGCTGGTTGAGCTGTGATGATGCCATCAAAGGGACTTGATCAGGATTTCTGAGGACAGAGCTATGTGGATCACCATGACTTGCCGCCATTGAGAACATTCTTAATGAGAGAACTCTGCTTAAGCAATGCTGGTTAACACAGATAAGTCAAGGGTGCATGTGCATGTGCGTATTCTAACAGAGAAGGAAACAGTAAAGTGACCGCTAATGTTGTCCCAAGCTTACCTAGAAACCAACATTTTGAGACCTCAGGTTGTAGACAGTGGTAATGTCAGAGCACCACACAGGGTACAGGACTGACATCCCCTGGCTTGTGGCAGCCTTCCACAAGGGCCAAGTGAAGGGCAGCTGGCCGCCCATGTCCTGCCCCTTACAGTGCTATGCTGGACAATACCACAGCATGGTAATCCTAACCTGGCTTTTCCTGGGTGGTGCCTGCTTCCTTACTTGTATTTCTTCTTTCTTTTCTGGGACATTCATTTTTAATATATTACTTTAACCATGTTAATCCTCAACCTTGATTGCTGTAATCACAGTCAAAAGTTGGTTTGCAGTTTTTGTGTGTGTGTGTGGGGGGTATTTTTGCCTATCACTGAAACAAAAATCAAAGATTTGCGGGATGTTATATTCCAAAATCTACTTTCCTTAAAGTTCCACTCGTGGTCTTGTCCAGCTCAGCGGGAACACCTGGAACTAATTTTAGGGTTGCCTGGCTAAGCCCCACGGTGGTATTTGATGTTTGCGTCCTCCCTAGACTCAAGCCCATTTCACCACCTCTGAAGGTGAGCGCAGGCTGATATTAATTAACAGTGAGTTGATTCACCGGCATCTTCCCGTCATTAAAGCAAATATTTGGCTAAAATAGCCCTCTTCCTACCTGAAATCTCAGCTTTTTGCCTGCCTCTCACTCCTCTGAGGTTGAGTCACGAGCACTTTTGTGGCGTACACGGCCCAAGAACAGAGGTGGACTCTGAAAGGGAAGGGAAAGGCTCTTTAGCTAACCTGCAGGAGAGACGGTGAACAGCATGTGGCTCCCAGCATGACTACATTGTTTTTCTGTCCATTGCAGCACTGACTCAGCATCATCTAATAAACCCTTGGGAGAAGGCTGGATTTCTCTTGTTTAATTATCATCTTGGAGCCCTCTGTGGGCTCTCAGGAATTGTTCATTCAGTTTTATACCCCTAGCACATTAGCTGGCTGAAAGTCGTGTTTCCTCTTGGTGCTAGCGTCTCCTCTGGCATAGTATGCAATAACAGGTGGTCCAGCCTCCAGCAGGGAGTGTGCTGCTCATGTCCCCTAGTGGGAATTTAATAGTTCTGTACTACAGAGACTGGAGAAGGACTTTAGACTGGAGGACTTTCTGGCACTTTCTATTACATCCTACCCTGCCCCCTCCAAAAAAATTCTAGGAGAGTTTCCTGAAAGAGTATTTGAAGATAAACAGACCTATCTTTATGATTGAGTTGGGCTTTTGCTTTGCTTTGTTTCATTTCTTCCTGTAAACAAATAACTTAAGTGTCTACTTCATTGTATGACTAAGTTGGTATCATTAGGTTGGGACTGGGTGTGTGTACGTGGAGGTGTGTGTGTATGTGGGTGGGTGTGTATACACACGTGTATTTAAAGTACAGTACTAGAAAACACAGCAGACTAAGGTCACGGAGAGATGAATAGAAAAAAAAAAAAAAAAGCCCTACCTATGGGGAGGCCAGCAGGAAAGTGGAAGACTTGTATTTCTGCAAGCTAAACTGTAATTGTAATGGGGTGCCTGCTATAAATGGACCCTTTGCATCATTGTTTCTCTGAATTAGAGGATTCCTTGCTGAAGGCGCAAGACCATTGAAGGAAGTAAAGCATCTGGTTTGTTTTGTAATGAGAAGCAGGAATGCAAGGTCCATGCTCTTAATAATAAACAAACAGGACATTGTATGCCATCATCACAGGATGTCCTTCCTTCTGCGGAGGACTGGGGCTGGGGGAAGAGCCCGCCAGGCGCAGCACGAGCCCCACTAATTACCACCTCCAACCCCTGCCCAGTTGCCGCGACCAGCTCAGGGTACCCCTCACCGTGAACCCACTTGCATCCTCAGAAGCCTGCTTGTGGGTTTGGGGAGGAGAGGAGAGGACGGGAACAACAACAAATCTGAAGGATTACGACTTTTTCCCATTTCCCTACTTACCGAGTAGCTTAAAGAAGGAAGTAAGCGCTACCAAATTTGAATGTATTTAGTTAGCAGGAGAAAGGAAATTTTACAAGTGGGGGGGTGTGTTAGTGTATTTCATAGACAACAATTGGAGCACGAGCTAGCTGCCGTGTGTTATATGAGATGCAAAAACAACTTAACTTGCTCTCTGTACCTAAGTTTGGTGTCTTCTGTAACCGTGGGTTCGAGGTGAGGGACCGCACAAAGTAATTTCTAAGTCTCCTTCAAGGAGTGTGCACCCCCTTAGTCTGCCGGGACAGGAAGCAGGGCCAACGAGGTATTTAGAATACAATGCAGTCCAAGCAAACGCTGAGAGTGAGCGCCTTCAAAGGGAAGTAAGACGATTCCAAGTATGTGTTGAAATTCGTTCGCGAGGAGAGGAAGCCGGGCAGCTCGCAGTGCGGGGAAAGCCCTGGCCGGCGCGGCTCGCAGGTAATGGCCCCGCCCCCGGCCCCTGGTAGGAGTGAATCAGACGAGTGGCTCATTAGCGCTCGGCGGCTGCGGGGAGGGGAAAGAGCTGCGCTCGGGTTGACACAGACAGTGCTGCCGGGACTCTCGGCCCTCCAGTGTCGCGGAGCGGCCGGAGCAGCAGCACCTGTCGGCGGCGGGGAGCCGGGAGCCCGCGCCGGGCGGCGGCGAGGAGGGAGCGCCGGGCGCGCCAGCGTCGCTCAGCCAGCCGGGGACGCGGAGATGCGGACGGGGTCGACATGAGCGAGACCCGTCGCAGATGTTGGATCTTTGCTTGGAAAAGCGTGTGGGTACGACTTCGGTAAGGAGCTTAATCTGATTTTTGATTTTTTTTTTTTTTTTTTTTTGGAAATTGATCTGAAAACTTTTTTTTCTTTCCTTTTCCTCTTTTTTTCCTCCCTTCGATGTAATGGCAGTAGAAACAAGAAATGCTTCTACTTTCTTGCATTTACTACTGTCCAACATTTATAAGACTTTTTCCTTATGAATCATTAACCCTTTAACTTCTAGACAGAATTGTCAGTACACTGAAATTTCAGTAGTGGGTCCTGCCCAACCCCCTGACAAAGAAAGTAACTATTCCGGGTTGACTTAAAATTTCAATTTGTTTATTTTAACATTTTTGGGGCATCGTGACTACGTGTTGGAAATAAATAAAAATAAACTAGTTCAAGTGGTAACTATGGTAAAGAAAATTTCAAATCTATTTTTTTTTTTTAAACAACAAAGCATATTTGAAGAAGAAATGGAAGAAAATAAAAACCTCCTTGAAAGATTCCCACAGTCTGTTTACATTTTAACAAGCACACATTCTTATGTGGAAATGGTACCCTTATTTCTACTCTGTCAAGCACGTCTACGTGGGAATACATTGCAAAAATGTTTACCCTTTTCTCTTGGGAAAGAGCCTTTCCCGAGACTGAGGGTGGATTTTTCAGGAATACCCTTAGTTCAGTGGAAGCAGCCCTTGCTCTCCGGAGTCCTCTATATTTGTTATAACTTTAGTTACAGTAAACTGCAGCGCATCACTGACTTCTGGGAATCCATACACTTTCAGATTTAAATGGAAAGTGCTATTTGTAGCTGAGAGCTCCTAAAGGAATTCTCCGGGATTGCTATGGAGTGGTTTTATGTTTTGTTTTTGCTTTTTCAATTTGGCGTGCAGTGCCCCCACATCCTAACAAACTGCAGGGTGTTTCCCCCGCTTTACCCATTTTTCTTCCTATTTCCCTGTGGTCTAAAAGATCTCAGAGAGGGTGCACTCAGTGATGCTGGCAGGATGCATCCCTTTTCGATCTTCCCTGCAAGCGGATGAAAGAGCGTGCGGGATGGGGGGGCCACTTGTTTTGAAAGTTGTTTTGTGTTGGGAGCTGGTGGGAAAGTTCCGTCTTCCCCATTTGGAAAAGGCAGGCTGGGTTCCGCTCCTGCACCACACGCGCTTTCCATTTTTAGCTTCATTCAGAAGCAGACAGAGCTCCTTCCTCTTCCTCTCCTTGTTTGTGACACTTTTCTGAGGCAGCTTTTCCACAGCGCCGAGGGTCTGCGGCCATGACCCCAGGCGTTCTGGGACACAGGACGTCGCCCACAACATGTTTCTGCCCTGAGAGGTAAAGCCAGGGGTAGTTCAAAGGTGTTTCTTCTGTATTTTTCTCCTAGTGAGGTTGCCACACTTTTTTTTTTTAAAACTAAGGAGTAGTATTTTAAAACTGTAGGTAAAGGCGGTCTACTCTTTACGTGTTTTTGGCGCTTACTCAACTGTACCAAGCACTCCCCATCTGCTTTTCAAGTCTTCAGACTGCTGCATTAGTCATAGCCTCTTGGATGAGCCACAGGAATGGCAGGACAGTGGGGATTAAAGGCCTTTCCGCTCTCTTCCAGGCTGCCCCCAAGTGTAGCTCCAGCTCTGTGAAGATTCAAGGGTTGGCAGAGGGGACTGAGAAGACCATGAAAATGGACATGGAGGACGCAGATATGACTCAGCTGACAGAGGCTGAGTTTGAAGAGAAATGTACCTACATCGTGCAGGACCACCCCTGGGATTCTGGTGCGGATGGAGGGACTGCAGTGCAGGCGGAAGCATCCTTACCAAGGAACCTGCTTTTCAAATGTGCCACCAACAGCAAAGAGGTAAGCGTCTGGTTTATGGTGGGAGAAAAGTTGGCGCCCTGCTTGCCTTCAAAACCTTACGTACAACCTCTCTAAGAACTATGAGAATCCATAAATATCAAATAATTGATCGTCTTCTTAACTTCCTCCATGGCGTTCGTCCCTTAAGTCAACTCCTTCTCATTTCCTCCAGCCTTCAAACTGTTCCATACTAATTAGTAAACAGTTAAATCTTTTGGCAAACTGACACATCTTGGAAGAACTGGCTTGCTAGGTGGGCAATGTTGTCAGTGAGCTTCGGGAAAACTGCATGTCCTGGCCCTCCATTCTTTCAAGGGAGGGAACTTTTTCTTAGAAAAAAAAATTTTTTTTAATGTTTCTTTTGTTTCCATTTGGTCATTAGATGGCTTTATTCTTTTTAACGAGCCAGCTTTATTAGCTGGGTTCTAAAATTATTCTCAAAACCTTGACGTGTTTATGAACTGAGGTGATGGCATAAATTGAGAAGAGGGTCACGTAAAAGTGTCCTCTGCCCAATGACTTCACTAACCACTGTTTATCCGTGGCAGCTCCTTTGCTCTGGCTGGGCTGGCAGGCCGATTCCTTATTGGCCTCTGAAGTGGGTACACTCTTTGTTGTTTCAAAGGGGCTGAAATCCTAACCTTGGAATGAGCAACTGATTTGTGTTTACCCTTTTATATAACAATTATAGCTAGGCGTGATGTTTAGCTGTGAAGTAACTGGCAGAACCACCTCTTGTTTTGAGAATTTGGCTACTGCAGTCGCTCTCCCTAGTTATTGCTGGCCTAGGTTGAAGCAATCTACCCCTCAGCAACTTCCCACCATCGCTGTCAGCTCTGTGCTTTCGGAAAGTAGTAGAAAGGGGATCATTTGTTCTAAAGTTCAGGATTTGCCACTGGGACTATTCTTTACAGCCCTGTCCAGTCACTTTCCCCCTTTCCCTAAGGAAAAGTATTTGAAGGAATCTGGGAGCCTGTTTGGGAAACACTTTGTCGCTTTCCTGTTTGTGTGTCTGAGTTCAGTGTTTTTGGTGAGGGGGTAGACACAGCTGTCTAAAATTAAATAGAGCAATTCCGCTTTGAGCTTCATTAAATTTAAACTTTTTTCTCTCTCTGCTGGGGGAGTGGAGGCAGATTTTATAAAAAGGAAAATTTAGATTGTATTTGTACATGAATGTTACCAAAAATTTAACCCCAGAGGTCAGCCTTAATTATACCTCTTCCTGAGAGTAATGCTGTTCTCATAGAAAGTCTCTTTAATATGTGGCTCTCAGTATCAATGTAGCATTTGTTTGGGTACTTAAGGTTTGGCTGTGGCTTTAAAAGGTGTGGTGTGCTTCTCCCCCACCTCATCAGATTTGACCAAATATTAGTCTGTTCCCAAGGTTCATTTGTGTTAGGTTGTCCTTTCCAGCCCACTGGGACTGAAATAAAGATCTCCATTCTGTGGGTCATCTTTGCCTTTACATCACATATAATGTTCTTTTTCTTGGTTTCGTTCTTAGCTGATGTTTTTCAACTTTCATCGTTCTACTGAAAATCAAGGAAAATCACGGATGATTCGTTATGCTCTTAGATCATTCAGTCCAAGGTTCAGAGAGATAGCCACTTACCCAGAGGCTACAGCTAGAGCCAGATGCAGGACTTGGAGCAAAGTTCTCCTGACTTCTCCAAGTGATTCTGGCTTATGTTACACCGGCCCCTCTTGGTGTCACTGTGGTTTTATTTATCATCTTAACATATTTCAGACTGCCTTCATTAAACTTGTTGCGTATTTTTTTTTCCTCTGAATGTATAACTTCCTATTTCAGTATGTTAAGCAACCAAGATCCTTCAAAACTAACATAGAAGGCAGAGTTCTTAGATCCTAGTGCCCATATTTTACTTAAGTAAAACTCTTGCACAAGGCATACTGCACCTTTAGTCTTTAATCAATCGCAAAAGCAACCAGAAAACTATGAGGTAGTATCCAAGCTTACTCTGAAATTTGTATCTGTTTTTCCTTTCTTTTTTGAACTTTGGGAAAGGACAGCTCCCTTTGGGTGGTGAAAGAGGATGGTAGAATTGAGCCGCTGATGGTATGATAGCTTACAAAACAATTCCAGGACAGACACATTCCGGATTGATGAAATGTTTACATTAGTATTCTTCACTTAGTTCTTTTAAGACCCAAAAGCCATGGAAACGAGGAGAAAGCCTTTCGAGTGGAGGTTTTACCTGGCTGATTTATCTTGCCCTTTTTAAAAAACATTTTCATTTAAATAACAGAAGATGTGATGTTATGTACTGTTGTGCTGACATACTGGGGATTTTTTTTTTAACAAGATCATTTTTCATTATGAATTTGTGCTATGTGTCAGCACCTTTTTTTTCTTAGTTTAAAAACAAAACATACAAACCATATTTCTGAACTTGACCTTCATTTTTAGATTTGGTTTAGAATCGTTTTGCACCTTTAATGAGGCTGTTCTTACTTCCTATTTCCAGAACGTAGAACCAAATATAGATATCTTATTCAAAACTTCGAAAACTTTTTAAACTGATGGGTTATTCTTTTATGGGGATTTTCCCCCATCCTCCTAAAATATTAATCTATGAATACTTATCTACAGAAAAATCAATTTCAGCATTAATATTTAGAAGCAGCAGTCTGTACAGGTTTCTCCCCTCAGCCGGGTTGCTGCCCTCCTGAGGCACTGTGGCTCCTCTGTGAGTCTGACCTGAAGTTTGGGCTGATCAACATCAGACAGGTCAGTGTCGATTCTCACTGAAGTCCATTGTTAATTGAAGCCGTCTGTAAGTGTCTCACCATAACATGCAGTTCCCTCCTCAAACTCCTTTGTTTGGGAGATGATGTACTGAGGATTACCATGTTTCCTTCAAGATGCAGATAATAGAGGAGGAAACCTTCCCCCAAAAGCTATGTTCTAGCCACTCCTTTTAAAGTCATTTGTGTGTGTAGCAGGGTGCTGGAAGATCAAACCCAGGATTTCAGGCATGTTACTTACATGCTCTTCCACTGAGCTATCTCCCAAGCCCACTCCACTTTTAAAGGTGGGGTGAATTATAGGCTGAAGTCTTTGTCCATTGTAGAGTTCTAGTCCTCTCAATGCAATAGCCTTATCATCAAAATAGAATTTTAATCAAACGAGTCGTTTTTGTGGGATGGGATTCAGGGAGGCGGGAGAGAGAGCTAGTTATTAAAATGACTTTAACGTACTTTGAGGTGAGGATGTTCAGATCGCATTTAGACCTGAATAATGTTTCTGCTTAAAAGTCACTGCTCTGTGTGTGTTTACATACCCTCTGAAGGAGCGATTTGCTTTTAAAACAAACAAAAAACTATTGTCCTTACCATTAAACTTTACTCAGTGCAAACTGTTTAACCTATCCTGAACTGCAGAATCTCCTTTGCTTTGTAAAAAATGGAAAAGAAGCCTCGGGTTTTGTCTGGAGGTTGCATACATCTGAGTGTATTCCACACTCAGGCCTCGGACAGAGGCAGATGTGCCCAGGTGGCAGGGCCAGCTGCTCGGGTGGGGGCCGATGGAGCGTGGCCACAAGGAAGCCCCATGTCTCCTGATGGGTTTGCAGAAGCCACACAACCGTCTGTCCCCAACAGTGATTCTTTAGGACCCTGGTCAGTTCCACTAAAGTTTCTTTCCTGAGTTAGGTGAATACATTCTTAATTAGCTTTTTTCAGCACTCAAATCTGTGGCACCAGCAGGTTTTGTCCCATTTGCTTGCTCCAAGAGTAGAAAGTCAAGTGATGGGCCACGGAGATGAGGTTGACTAAAATACACAGGTCTTCCAGAGGGAAAACTATGACTTGTTTCAATTCAGGTTCCTATCCCTGCTCCAGAGTTACCTTGCCAAGCACCATAAAAATTACAGCTTTTTGTTCTCTTTGAATAATATCTTAGACATGGATTTAAGAAGGTGTTTATTGTATATTTATTAGTGTTGGTCTTGGAATATATACAGTAGGGTTATAAGCTACAGGAGGGCTTTCAACCTCAAAATTCTATGATTTAGCGCTCTATCTCTAGTACCTAGTTTCTGCTGTACAGCTCAGTATGTAATAGGAACTTAGGGTTCTGTCTCATTGCATACTACAGTAAAACTCTCCTTTTCCTCTTCCCTAGTGACTAATCCATAGTTGCGCTTAGTAGGACTTCTCCAGATTCCCTTGTGGTAGAAACAAGATTCTAGTTAACATTTTGGCCACAAGAAAATGTGTGTTTTTTTAGGGTAAAATTGGTGACCAAAAACCAAGGGGACCATTCTGTAGAAGAATGGCCAGTGAAGAAAAGACCGTGACCTCAATATAATGCTCTTTGTTGGTAATCAAGCGCTGACTCCCAAGACACTGTCTGCAGGAGACTATAATTTAAAACAAAGTTGATGGACCAGTTGAGTGTCTTTCTTAAAATTACTGCTTTAAGGTGGATATGTTGAAAATATCAGCTACTAATTATTGGCTCACCAACAAATGGCATTATTTGTTTTTCCTGTTTGTCATTTTAATATTATGGGATATTAAATGTGAATGACTACTGATTTTGTGTAATAGATGTCAATTCCATAAATTTTCCAAATTAGGTTCATTATTAATATGTCCAAAGCAAGGAGCCTCTAAACAATTAAGCCTTATTTAAGCTTTAAGGATTTTATCTCAAGATTTCTCTTGAGATGCTCTGTCCACAGTAGTTATACTGCTAAAAAGTAGCAATAATAAACTCTTCTGGAAAGGGCAGACAGATGTAAATGAAGGCATAGGAAGAGAATGAAACGAACATCTGCTTTTTTCAGCTCTTTGCCAGAAATTTGTAAAGGACCAAAAATAACACTGTAGCTCACCAACCTTGTTTCAACTTTTAAGAGGGGTAGGAAAATTTTTTTCCTTTGTAGTCTGAGTTGCTCCATTGACTTGTATATTGAGTACTAAATTATTTCTGAAAAAAAATCATTTGCTGATAAGAAACGTATGTGAGAAAGACTGGTCTGTCACAACCATGTAGGTGTGTATTATTCCATATCTATTTATCAGCGGTTAAATTCCTGATGAGATGCATTGTGGTACCCATATAGTGTGTATCAGAGTCTTAGATGCCACTGTGAGCCACCTGAATATTTATTGATTCACAGATTTGCACCTGCCATTTTAGGTACACATTTACACAAGAGACACCAGGGATAGTAAAAACTGGAAATAAACACTTACCTTTTTAACCTCACCCCCATAATTTGGTCCATTTCAAGTAAGGTATGCAGTAAGCAATCTGTAGACTGTTCTGAGCCAGAAGAAAATAAAAATGGGAAAGTGAGAGAACAAAAAGCAAAACTGTAACTGCAAAATGTTACACAGGACTACTCACAGAGTTCTTTTGAATAGTGATGCATTACTTCCTGATTCATGATTGGTGATTTTTTTTTTTTTAAGCCATGCAAGAGAAATTTACCCTGAAGGAGGAACTGACATAGTTAACGTATTTCTTTAGCCCTACAAAATCAAAATGCGTGATGCAGTCTGAGAAAGTCATTTCCTCAGATCTTAGAACCCACAGCTCTTAGAACCCCCAGTCGCCTCAATATAGATGCCATTTCAAAGGAGGACTTTAGACCACAGTTTGAGGAGAAGATGGTAGAGCAGACCAAAGTTACTTGAAAGATTTTTCTCCTATTAAAGAGAACTTACAAGCAGTTGTATGGAGGGGGACCTGATCTGAAACGAAAAAAAGTGTTTGGTTTTTGGTTCCCTCGGTCTTTGTGGAATAACTAAAGGCATTATTTTGGTTTCTGAGATTTACAACTATTTTATTTCCTTCAAGTATACTGTGTTTATGGTTTGAGGGTGAAAGAAATAGTCACCTGGGAGCCCTGCTGAAATGGTCCAGTCTTAACCATCTCACTTTGCAGGGTCTAATTCTTCTAAAATAGTTATCCTCTCTGATATGACATAAAACATAATAAAAATAAAGTGCCCTCAGTCACGATTCTCTAGACTATTTTAATGCTTGGTTGAGCATTTGCTCCTCTTGATCTTAGACTTTCAGATATTCTTCCCCAGAGGTGAAATTTGCTGTTAATTCTGTAGGCATCTTACTGGCAGCTCTGCATTGCTGATTGTATTACCACCTGAGGATTCAATTCATTGAAATAACAACATTGGTTCACACTTTACAGTAAAAGTAATTGTTTCATATGTTTTTCCCATTTTAGGTTATCGGCGTGCTGAGTAAAGAATACATACCAAAGGGAACACGATTTGGGCCCCTAGTAGGTGAAATCTACACCAGTGATACAGTTCCCAAGAATGCCAACAGGAAATATTTTTGGCGGGTAAGTCAGGAAAATTTTTCAAGACTTTCAGTATTAGGAAAAACTGGAGCTAGACGAACAAGGTCATTTTCTTTTTCAACCTATGCTGAGAAACTCTGGGATTCACCAGTGTGGTTCACCGCAAGTATTCAAGGTCCCCATTGAAACAGGGAATTCTGAGCAAGTATGCTAAAACTGGTAGAACGTTCATCCCTGGAAATACAGCCTGTAGGTGATTAGTGAAGAGAGATAGGGACAGTATGTGAGTCTTCTTTTTTGCAACTCATTAGAGCTTTGTGAGGAAAGGAAACAGTTTGTTACTTGCTTTTAGGGTGGTAGGTTCATTTGCATTTCTCTGCAAGGAAGTAGTAATGAGTCACTAACCCTTAGATTTCACCCCTTCTTGATTTCTTGCTGAGTTAACTTTAGTTGAATGGAAGAGTTATCATAAATGAATTGTCTTGAAAAGAAATGTCATTAAGGAAGGGTGGCTGGAAGATGGGCTAGGGGAATTGAGGAGGACCACAGGACTGGTCTTACTTAAATCTGTCTGCACCATGAAAACTATTAAACTTGACAGTATATAAGGTATTCCCATAGTATAAGGAAATGGTTGCCGTCATTCAAGATGAGAAACTTTTCTGTAACATCCAGCCAAGAGATCTGACCCAAATAATCTCCTTTGGAATTATTTCCCAAGCTAAAGAGAACAGTTATAGATTCACTGTTAAGTTATTTAATAATAATAATTACTTGTGCTTAAAATGCATCCATTCCATGACTTACACTGGAAAAGTAGGAGTGTATTTTTGCATTTATTGCTGATAAATGCTTCTCATATTTGAGGCATGGAGGTATGGTAACCTTTAGGAGTCAGAGGTCTGAATTAAGACAGTCCAGCCTAAGTCTCATGAATACCTTTAGGAGTCAGAGGTCTGAATTAAGACAGTCCAGCCTAAGTCACTTTGAAAAAAGATAAGAAGCAACTCAAAATCTCTCATCACTGTCCCAATTTCTTGTTGCATTTACTGATTGACCGTAAGTAACTGAAAGGCCCTCCTTGAGGATTTATTTGAATCAGTCGTCGTTCATATGCAAAGGATATTGTAGGAGATAACTTCTCACATGTTATTAAAAGCATTCTGACTTTGCTGGCAAGGATGTGAACATCTGTTGTGAGGAAAGAAAAAGTCTCATGAAAATTACACAGTCAAAGAGAAGGGATGTTCAAGTTGAGAAACCAGTGACATTTCTTGTAACTGTACTGTGAGTCAGCACATTTTAATCTTCTTGATAATAGGTGGAAACGCAGTGAAGTGACAGGCAGCAGCATTCATTTTACGCGTGCATTGTTTTATTTTCTTGTGGGTGTGTATGACTTCATGGCATCGGATGGTTCTGTTTTTTAAGTGAGGATACAGTAAACTAGTCCGTGGAAGGCTGACTGGAATCAACTTACCCGTAGCTTTAGAAAGCAGTTTCCGTCCCTACGAAGAGTATTAAGAGTGATGGAGCCCCACGTTCCTGGAAGTTTGCACATCGGAGTAAACAAACTTGAAAACCCCTCTTGATAGCTGAATTCACCCAGCCTTGTTCCATTTTCTCTTAACAAAACACACCGCAAAAGCTCTCACAAGCTGCTTTGATGAAGCCACATGTATTTCCCCCTTCACAATTTACAGGAAGTTACTCTTAAAAGAAAGTGATTCTGGTGTTTACTGCCTGTGTTAAAGGGACAGGGTTCCTTTTTATTTCTGATAACGTTTGAGTGAAATACAGAAACAGTTTGTAGGCTAATACAGTTGGTGTGTGACTAAGGCTAAAGCAATAATAACCTGCTGTCCTGTTCAAACAAAATCTCTGCTATGAACGAGTCCCTTACCTTCACTTGGAGACCCAGCTGTAGACGACCAGGTTCTCATTATGTATGCATAAGGGGAGAACTTCAGTCTGAAGAAAAGGTGGTGCACCTCTTAATAGGAAGGGGAGAAGAAGCTTTCTGTGGAAAATAAGGAGTGTGTTGACTGCATAGGTTGAGTGTGTGTTTTAATTGTTCCTCCTCTTACTCTGCCTTTTTATCAAGTTCCCTGAGTATATCTGTTAATCAGAAGTGGTGTTACCCAAGGACAAACTCAGGTCTCCTTTATGCTCTGCATTTAAAGAATCAAACACTTTTCTTCCCACTCTTTTGCCAGAACCTCCAAAAGGCAGGCATTGGTGTCTTAGCCAACCTCCTCCCAGATAAAGGGGATCTGTCTTTCCTCCTCTTGCCTGAAAGAAGAGCGCAAGGCTGAACATGTTTATCAAGAGGAAAAGTGGCTCCTCAGTACCCAGACTGTCAAATTCTGGCCTCTGGCCCGGGGCTCACTTTGTTATGGCAGGTGAAGCTCACCTTTGCCCCACCCAGTGTTTCCACAAAAAGGCAGGGTTCCAAGTATTTATATGAACAAGTGTTACTTTAGGACTCCAGGGGTGGGGGTGGAGGATGTTTGCATAGTCTAAGCCTTGGGCGGGGGTGTAGGAAACAGCAAGTACAGAGGCCATAGAAAAAGCTGAGACTCGGTTTGACGTAGTCTGCCGGCTTGCTCTTCTACCCAGTGACTCAAAGCACTAAAAGTCAGCACAATCGGAACTGCAGTTAGTAGCGACGCCCATTTGCCAGTCACTGCCAAAGCAAAAGTTAGTGCTCTGTGGTGGTTTAATCGGTTTGAGGCTGCTCCTTAAATGAAATTTTGTTTCAGTCTTCTGTTCTTTTTCCCCGAATATTGAAAGATGACAAAACTGAAATGGAAAAGGTAACCGACAAGAATGTGCCTGAGCTGTTTCCGCCCTCATTTCTGCTGATTCAAGACTACTGTGGCCTAATTGATTTGATTCTTTTCTAGCTAGGCAGTAGGGGAGCAGAAATCACACATTCTCATAGGCTGTGTTTATTCTGAGAGGCGCTGGGCAAGCTTTCCATGGCTGTGGGCTGGTTTCCTTTCACACCGTGTCTGTCTTCTCTTTTGGACAGATCTATTCCAGAGGGGAACTTCACCACTTCATTGATGGCTTTAATGAGGAGAAAAGCAACTGGATGCGCTACGTGAATCCAGCACATCCAGCACACTCTGCCCGGGAGCAAAACCTGGCTGCGTGTCAGAACGGGATGAACATCTACTTCTACACCATTAAGCCCATTCCTGCCAACCAGGAACTTCTTGTGTGGTATTGTCGGGACTTTGCAGAAAGGCTTCACTACCCTTATCCTGGAGAGCTCACGATGCTTAATCTCAGTAAGTGGATTACAGAACAAAAAAATTTTTAAATGCCAGTAATGTCAGTTCTGCCCCTGTGAGCTAATAACATGTTGGTTAATTATATGGCTTCATCATCTGTTGCACTAAGTAGGTGGCTTAAACTAGGGACTAGGAAGAGGAAAAAAGTTTTAGTCCTTCTTCCCTGCCATGAAACTTGACCATTACAAAAAAAAGAGGGAGAGAGAACCGCTCTGAGTGTTGAATTCAGAACGTTACCAGAAAAAAATACATGTCTAATTTAATTTACCCAGAAAAGGAAGCAGCTGGGAGTACAATAGAGATTGGTCCAGACATGCCAAAAATGCAGGATATTCCCCTTGGTGGTAGTTTTTGGGTGCTTAAAATATACATTTAAATACCGTAGTGATGCACATTTGACTATAAAGTCATGGTCTGACGTGGAATATTCTAAGATTGTTTCTAGAGAAACTTTGTCATGGTTTTTCAAATATTCTAAATGAATAACCCTAAAGATTTCATATCTTTGCTTCCTTCCTTATGGTAAAACTAATTAATCTGCTCTCCTAATCAGTATTACAGTAACCACCTATCACTTTATCTTGACACATTCTCAGTTCCTTAGGTTGATAAGCTTTTACTTTTTTATTTGGTTAAATTGCTGTCATGACCTCTCTGCAGAGAGTGCCCTCATTTTAATCGTTCTCTAGTGATTTCTATGACCACTTTAAGAATTAATGTAAAATTTTCACTTCAGTTGTAACTATGCTTGTGTGTTCTTGGTGAGATAGCTTCATTTTACAGGGGTTTTTAAAGTGAATTACTTTTAGGTCAAAAGTTAACTAAGTGCTGAAAGGTTTATAAATTTTTATCTTGCTCCTCTTTCAGACTTAAAAGATTCCCAGTTATCCTTTACTCAAACCCACCAATTTTTCATGTGCTATCACACTTGCTTTCTCTGAAGGCTAAATTCTTTCAGTTCACACTTTCACCTTTGAGTCATTTGGGATAATTACTAATTTTATTATAATTTAGAATTTTGCCTTCAACTTTAGGCCCAGTTAGCAAACCAGTTATTTATCCAGTCATATGAGTTCCAGCCATCCAGCTGTAGGGTGTTCACTTGTGTTTGTCAGTTTGCCCCATCTCCCTTAAGGGTTGCATAGGCTCTTAAGACTGTATTTACAATTTTCTGAAAATCTGAAACTGGAGGCCAGGCCAGGACCGCCCCAGGAGAATCACATAGGAGCGTGTCCATGTCCCTTATACCTTCAGTGCACCCTTGTACTTCCGGAAAGATCTTGGGGTGTATGGGAGCAAAGCAAACCGGCTTTCTACACAAGCATGATATGAGCGTGCTGTGGGTGTCACCTGTCCTGACCAAAGGGGGCAGTTCTTCTCTCGTCTCTCTTTGGCACTCCCTGGGACTCTGGCACATCTGTAGGCCTGAGCACCCCAGGAGCCATTCTGCTGTTTTAGCATCTGTGTATTCCCAGCCCATCACTAAGGGCCTGGTGGTAAAAGACACACGCACAATCAAGTTGCTGTGGAACTCACATTCTCTGAGGGCATCGTGGAAAGACAAACTGCTTCCCCCTAACATTTCAGCTTAGCAAGCCACTTCCTAATGAAGGTCTCCTCACGTACCTGGAGTTTAATCAGTTGTGCTTTCAGAAAGTCTTGGGGGTTTTTGCTTTTCAAAACCAGGTAAGTCTACTAGGTGAACCTCCCAATCGCACTTGTCTTCCCAACAACTATGAAGAAACTTTTTTGCACTTTTCCTGTCCCTTGTTCCAATCAAAGAAAGTTTGAAAGGCCTCCATTTTCATTCTCCAGTGAAAAGCTTTGCATTGTGCTTTAAGATTCAAGTATTGCCTTCAAAAGCAACTTTCATTTGGTGTGAAGTGACACCTGTGTTCCTTCCAATAGCACCTTTTATTTATGCGGAAGTTTTCTAAATGGTAGTTTAGCTTTTTCAGGTACCTTTTCATTATCCAGTATTTATGATAAAAAAAAAATGGAGCGTTAACAATAACCAGTACATTACAACAGGACTGCTGCTGCCGATTGTGAAACCAGTTGTCTTAGGTGTGGCAACTGATGATTGAGACTCTGATCAGGAAAATTTCCACTATTTCATCAGGCCTAATAGGCAGATTGTGCCTTCAAATAAATAAGCTGTGTTGTTGGCTGTCTGTTTACGGTACAGTAGAGACCTGTGCTAAAATCTCTGTGGAAGGATCCATGATAGCAAGGGCTGCACGGGTGGAATTGACGAGAAGGGATGGGAAGAAGACTGAAGTCAAGGAAAGTAAATGGCGAGAAATGACAAAAGGCAAATTTTTAAATAAAAGAAAAGGAGTTAAAGAACTATTTAAGCCCCTACCCCTCCAAGTTTTTTTTTTTTTTTTTTTTTTTTTGCTATCTAACTAACCCATCTAGAAAACAGTTGACCAAAGTATAGACTTCTCAATGTTAATCTGCTTTCTCAGTTTCAGTTGAAAACAGACTTTGTTTTGCCTATTGCAGAACTTCTAGGTTCTTTCTTGTAGTCTTGGGGGATCTTATTATAGATCGAAAATGTGAGTCGGCATAATTAAGCCATTCAGAGCCTTCAGAAGCAGTTCACTCTTGAAATGACTCCATCCGCCTACAGCCATTTAAGATTTAAGAACAAAAACAGATCTTGATTTTCTTTTTCATGTTAACTCAAGCTGCTGCTGAGGGGGAGAGTCAGAAATGACACTAGCTTCCCTGATTACTCAGCTGCTGAAGGACAATTTTTTAAAAATTATCTTCATACAAACTCCATAAGTTTTACCTGTAGAATGTTTTGGAGAAGCTCACGTTTTACACGGGGCGTTCTTTTAGAATAAGGTACAGAACTATTTCTCTGAAGCTATCAGAAGTAGCAAACATGTATTGTGGATTTCCTATTGACCAGGCACTGTTGCATAAATAATCTAAAATTCTCACTTTTTATTGGCCCAATCATTATCGTTATATCAGTTCCGTAACTGACTAATAATGTGCTTAAAACTGCAAGGCTGAATATGGTAACAGTCTTGTGAATAGGCTTAAACTTATGCTCATGGCTGTCATTTGCTGAATTTTAGGACCTCAGGACTATTGAACCCAATGAAAAAAATAGGAGATTTAGATGTAATTTTTTACACAAAATTATGAGGTGAGGGTTCTTTGTTTCTAGGTGGTGTCTTTTTCTTTTCCACCTGAGAATGCTTCTAAATCGCTCTTCCCCCACCCTCCATAACATTCCTCCCTGTGGTCCTAAAATGCTTTGCCTTTCAGGTTTCAGCTTAGTTGTCCTTCCTTTCCTTTACCATTTCAGCTTTAAAAAACAAAAGTGACAATTTGAACTTCCTGCCTGCTGGGTCTCACTGAAAGACTGATATTGGCCCGATAAGGGGGTATTTATTTTGGTTTAGTGGCTTCAGAAATCTCTCTCCCTCAACAAGCTTTCCATCACTGCCTCCATCAGCATCCTCCCTGAGAGTGTTGTTCCAGTGTTTATTCTGGGACTTCTGGCTCGCCCAGGAGTAACTGATAACAGCTAGCAGGAGATAACATTCTCCGAGGGGCTCTCCAACTGGAATTGAATCCCTCCAGCCTGTCAGCCTGGATAATGAATTTGAAGGGTTTATTCAGGAGTTCCACACGGTTCATCTCTAGACCTGTCAGGTAGCAAGCCTGGAGTTCTTTCTCAGTTAAACCAAGCAGGGACATTCTATAAGATGAGGAAGGGTTTCCATGTGCTCTCAGAACATTCCCCATCCTCTGGTACCCAGGCCATTCAAGGCATCTCCATCCCTGAGCGGCCAGTGCTGTCTGCATCCTGAGAGAAAAAGCTGTGTTGGCCTGAGCGACCACCCTCCGGGAGCCAGGGCTCATCAGGCGCTCTACTTCTGGTTGCTAGGAAAGCTGAGCAGGGCGGTTTCAGTTTTCTCCACCGTGACCGGTGGTTCCCTGAAGGCTTCGTTTGCTCTGCGATAGGGCTGGCAGGGACATGGATAGTCTGGAACTGTCCTCACTGCGCCTGTTCCTAAATAGTCTGTTTACCAAGTAAGATACGCCGTCTTCAGGAGTAAATGCTTTCCTCTTAGCCGCCTGTGTTTTCTTTAGTGCTGTAAGTAATTGAACTGGCTCAGGAAGTACCTGTTGTGGTTTGGCAGAAGTGACTGTCATGCCTTGTGATTTCAGGGGACAGCATTGCTGGGAGCCTGGTTAGACGAGAACCTTGGTGAAATGTTTGCTGCCAGCCAATCAGGCATAAGGGGTGGCATCCATGCCCATAATCTGTTTGGCATAGGTGGTTTGTGCAGGGCTTTATCAAACTCATATTAAACGAGAATCAGGTTGAAAATTGATGACTGTTTATTACTTGAAATGAGTCTTAATCTTTCAGAGTCTTAATCTTTCACATCTAGTTTGCAGGGTGTGCTGATTTCCTTTAGGTAAACTGTGAACATCAGAATGACTTACTAACCTGTGACAACCCCCCACCCCGGTATTTTTCCACCCTATTTTAATGAATGCCATCTTTTCTACCTCGAACAGCACTTTTCTATCCTCTAACGTGTACTAATGGAAACAAGATCATCCAGCTGGCACGATTTGCTCTGCCCGTGCTGCCATGGTCTGCCTCCTGCTGAGGAGGAAGTGGAGCAGCACTTCCCGAGTGGGTGGCCTGGAGCGCTCCAAGCGTGAGAGGCGTTAGGAGCCAGGTGCCTGCCGTCTGTTGCCAACTGGTGCTCAGGTTTTGTCTATGGCAGCTTTGGTGATTTCACCTCCGTTCTCTGTAGCCCTCTCAGTGATCACCCTTTCTTTATTTCAGCTCAAACACAGAACAGCAACCCAAAGCAACCGAGTGCTGAAAAAACCGAACTTTGTCCAAAGACTGTCCCAAAGAGAGAGTACAGTGTGAAAGAAATCCTGAAATTGGACTCCCACCCCTCCAAAGGGAAAGACTTCTACTGTTCTAACATTTCACCCCTTGCTTCAGAAAAGGACACAGATGACTTTAGGAAAAATGGGAGCCCCGATATGCCCTTCTATCCTCGGGTTGTGTACCCCATCCGGGCCCCTCTGCCAGAAGACTTTTTGAAAGCCTATGGGATGGAAAAACCGACTTACATCACTCACTCCCCCATTCCGTCCTCCACCACTCCAAGTCCCTCCGCAAGAAGCAGCCCTGACCAAAGCCTGAAAAGCTGTAGCCCTCATCGTAGCCCGGGGGACACGGTGTCCCCACTGGCTCCTGGCTCTCAAGAACATCGGGACTCCTACACTTACTTGAATGCGCCCTACGGCACTGAAGGTCTGGGCTCTTACTCCGGATACCCACCCCCACCCCACCTCCCACCAGCTTTCATCCCCTCCTACAATGCTCACTACCCCAAGTTCCTGTTGCCCCCCTACGGCATGAACTGCAACGGCTTGAGCGCGGTGAGCAACGTCAATGGCATCAACAACTTCGGCCTCTTCCCTAGGTTGTACCCGGTCTACAGTAACCTCCTGGGTGGGGGCAGCCTTCCTCACCCCGTCCTCAGCCCAGCCTCATTCCCAAGTTCGCTGCCCTCGGATGGAGCCCGGAGGTTGCTTCCTCCTGAGCATCCCAGAGACGCATTTGTGCCAGGGCTCCGCAGTGCCTTTTCCCCTACCGGGGCAGCGGCCAGCATGAAGGACAAGACGTGTAGCCCCACGAGCGGGTCTCCAACGGCGGGAACAGCTGCCACGGCAGAACACGTGGTACAACCCAATGCTACCTCAGCAGCGCTGGCCACCCCCAGCAGCGATGAAGCCATGAATCTCATTAAAAACAAAAGAAACATGACCGGCTACAAGACCCTTCCCTACCCGCTGAAGAAGCAGAATGGCAAGATTAAGTACGAGTGCAACGTGTGTGCCAAGACTTTCGGCCAGCTCTCGAATCTGAAGGTAGGCTTCTGATGGAGCGGCTGGGCCATCCGGTGGTGTCCGTGCCCCTAAGTGCCCAGCATGTTTGTACAGCTCCCTTCCCACAGGTTACAGTTGCATTTACGGCAGCAAGAGACCTAGTGGGGCTCGGGATGTGGGTGCTACTTTGCTTCTGCCGCTGCTAGCTCTGAGGCGTTGGACAAGTCACTCTGCCTCTCCAGAGTTTCTCCTGCATAATTGACAAGGTGGGGTTGGGCTTAGACAATCAATAAAAAGTCCCTGCTAGCCAGCAATTTTTGTTCTTTTAGTTCAGGCAAAATAGGGCGTTTGAAAACACTGGAGCTTTTGTTCCAGTGTTTTCTTGAAAAGACTTTGTCCTGATGCTTTTCTTAAGACGTTTGTATCAGAAGCGCCTGAGTCTTGAGCAGAAACACAAGGTCTCCGGCAGCCTGCAAGCAGAGCTAACACATGCGGCTTCTTCCCAGGTCCACTTGAGAGTGCACAGTGGAGAACGGCCTTTCAAATGCCAGACTTGCAACAAGGGCTTTACGCAGCTTGCCCACCTGCAGAAACACTACCTGGTTCACACGGGAGAGAAGCCACATGAGTGCCAGGTGGGCAGTATTTTCCGAGTAGAACTTGTGGTCTTTGTAGAAAATGTCTGTGGAGTTGCCTTCTCGTGGCATGTAGCCCGGGTTGAAGCTCACGTAGCCATCTTGCTTGGCTGTGGGCCGCTGGCACTGTGGGGCCGCCTGGTACTTCGTAGCCACTGACAGGCTGCAGTGAGGACATGGCCAGCGTCCAGTGGGTGGGAAAATGGCAGGGGAAATAAACCGCACCTCCTGTGTGGTGTGCCCACTTCCGCCTTTGCGTAATAGCGCCCCACAGGTTGCTGGGAGTTGGCCTGTTGCCTGCCCCTCCTATGGCAACTCTTAATCTGCTGGTCTTCTCTGTCTCCCTTCTTGGCCCCATACCACAGGTCTGCCACAAGCGATTTAGCAGCACCAGCAATCTCAAGACCCACCTTCGACTCCACTCGGGAGAGAAACCTTACCAGTGCAAGGTGTGCCCTGCCAAGTTCACCCAGTTTGTGCACTTGAAGCTGCACAAGCGACTGCACACTCGGGAGCGGCCCCACAAGTGTGCCCAGTGCCACAAGAGCTACATCCATCTCTGCAGCCTCAAGATCCACCTGAAGGGGAACTGCCCTGTGGCCCCCACCAGTGGGCTGCCCTTGGAGGACCTGACCCGAATCAATGAAGAAATTGAGAAGTTTGACATTAGCGACCATGCCGACCGGCTTGAGGACATGGAGGACAACACTGATATGACCTCAGTGGTGGAGAAAGAAATTCTAGCCATGGTCAGAAAAGAGAAAGAAGAGAGTGGCCTCAAAGTATCTTTGCAAAGAAACATGGGGAATGGACTCCTCTCCTCAGGGTGTAGCCTTTATGAGTCCTCAGACCTGTCCCTCATGAAGTTGCCTCACAGCACCCCACTACCTCTGGTACCTGTCAAGGTCAAGCAAGAGACAGTTGAACCAATGGATCCTTAAGAGTTTCAGAAAACAAGTGTTTTTTATGTTCTGACTTGGTGAGTCCGGGTGCCTGTAGCAAATTGCTTGTACATAACTCCAGATCCGCAAAGCTTTTCCAAGGGCAGGTGGTTTCCCGCTCCTCTCTGGAATTGAAGGACTCCAAAGTTTCTAAAATCTCAGGGTATAAATAAGACAAAAACTCATTTTCTTGATATACATATATATATACATATATACATATTATATATACTTATTTACACCCATGTCTATATATTTGAACCTGTGTATTTTGAATATTTGTGTGGATATATTTGCATAGCCTTCCCATTACTAAGACTATTGACTAACCATAATTATTTTTGCAATGATAATCCTTCATAATTTATTATACAATTTATCATTCAAAAAGCAATAATTAAGAAAGTTTACAATGACTGGAAAGATTCCTTGTAATTTGAATACAAATGTATTTTGTCCTGTGGCCATTCTTTGTAGATAATTTCTGCACGTCTTTTTAAGTACCTAAGATTTAGTAGACAGATACATTATTTCAGTCAACTTCTCTATAATAATGGTTTAAAATAAGATTTTGGTGTTGCCAAAGTTAGACAATTGATGTGTGAACTTATAGGATTGTATCATTTGAACAGCATTGTATAACTTGAGGGTATATGTGCAGAATCACCCAGTAATTTGAGCAGAAGGAACCAGAAAAGGAATCTTAAGTGTTTATGTTGATAGCTCATAGGTTTTTTTAGCCACAATTTTGCCAGGTGACAAGAAGGCTTTGCCAACCTGTTTCTCCAAAAGAATAGGGTCCTCCCACACCACCCCCAAAGTCGTAGGACCTTCTGAGTGGCCACATGACTTTTGAATCCTAATGTATTATCTGAAAATGTGAATATGACAAAATGCCATGTTTAAGACCACTGAGAAATCTTCCCAAAGCACAGGTGGTTTTGGATGTATGCAGTTTGGGGGCTTGAGTTCTGAGTGGGTTTTTTTGTTGTTAGTTTTTGTATTTTTATGTCAAAATTGCACAGATGTGGTGCTCTACCAGGAAGGATTTGAAGTAGGCTCAGGCCACATTTAAAAAGTAAATAGAAAAACGGGTATTCTGGTCATGTTAGAGTAAAAGCGGGTGATGAACATTCCTATCCCAAACACATCAATTGTATTTTTTTTTTCCTGTAAAAGTTTCTGAGAAAATTTTTTTCTCAGATTTTCCTCAGTATTTTGTGTTTTTACATTTTATGGTTAATTTAATTGAAGATGAATGGGCATTGCAAAATTGTTCAACAACAATTACCTCATTCAGTATGTCCAGTAGTGCCAGAAGTGATGTCTTATCTAATGATTTGCTACTCTAGAGGAGAAACCAAGTGTGCTCCAGAAAGGTAGACTGTTATTCTGTCTTTTACTCTGCTAAGCCCAAAGATTACCTGTTGGTATTCAAAGTGTAGCAAAGGATGATGTATATTTATAAATGTATTTATACCACTATACCATGTGTATATATAATATATTTATAACCACTTAAATTGTGAGCCAAGCCATGTAAAAGTACCTACTTTTCCTAAGAGCAAAAAACCAAACAAATAACCCTCCTTCTGAGACTTTTTACTTCATTGAACACTTGATGACCTCATAATCAGATCAGTGCTTGGGCACCTCCTTGTCTCTTCCCAGAGACCCTGCTAAGGTGAGGGCCGCGTCACAACCAAGGAGAAAGAGATCCATCAGTTTTTGTTACAAAGGACCGTATGAGATGGCTGTGTTTTTGTTCTGCCATATTAGGATTATGTGGCCATAGTCAAGTCACAAATAAAAACCTGCTTCCTTACCACTATGCTTCCTTTTTCTCCCACCTTCCTACAAACTAGCACTGCACTATTCAGTCTGTAATTACATATATTCAGTATTTTGTTCACGTCAACTGATGTAAGCCTACAAAGAGAACAACAAATTTTAAGTCGTCCAGGGAAACACAAGAGCCTTACTGCAACTAGCAAGACTGACAGTCTCCCCCTAGCCTTTCTAGGACTCAACCCCAGGACCCCTCATGCTAGGCAGGCACTTAGCACTGAGCTGCAACCCAGCCTGAGAGATGATTTTGATATATCGAGATTTGATAAACCTAGTTCTTGCAGGTAAACCAAAACATCACACTGACACCAAATGCTTTTTCTCCCATGTGTTCGTTCTTGCTTTCTTTTGTACTTTCTTAAATCACCTGAGAGTTTTTATAAAGAATGCTTGTTTCCCTTACCGTGTGTCTTTCCTAGGCCTCTTACATGTGAATGCTGAGCCCACAATCAACAGTGGTTTTATTTTTTTCCTCTTCTCAAAGTTAAAACTGACCAAAGTTATTGGCTTTTTACTTTGCTAGACCAACAAACTATCTTATGTTTACGTACTGGTTTACATTGTTATTTATGTGCTAATTGTCAAAATGTAAATTAAATATAAATGGTCTTGCTTTACCAATGCTTGCCTCGTGTCTTACATCATCTTATCTGTACTGTTGGGATGGCTCCAGACCGCATTTTGAAAAGAACAGAATTTGCTGCTTCTTGCAGCCGCCCCTGTTCTGTTTCCAGTAGCAGTCTTCATGGTGCCCTAATCTTCCCACCTCGGACTGTCGTAGAGTGTGATCTGAGGACAGTGATCTGGTCTCATAAGTCAACAGTGCAAGATACTTCTTTAGGAGCTGTCAGTGTCTTCTAAGAAAGGCATTTCAAGCTCTAGCAAGTAGGGGAATACCTGCTAGGTTTTCGGACTTTGGTGATTGTTTTATTTTGTGGATGGATCTGAGTGGTGAGGAGACTCATTTTCAGAAATTCCTTCCTAGTTTGTGCCTGTGTGTGTGTGTGTGTGTGTGTGTGTGTGTGTGTGTGTGGACTCAGCCCCCTAGTGGGTGAGAAACTGGGAAGTGGCGTCTGGGACACTGACCACTGATGGCATCAGAGTTGCTTCAGTAGCTAGCAGGGCCTGCCATAAGGAATGCCCTGCATCCCACATCCCCCGTCAGATCTTAACCGAAGAGGTCGATTTGGGCATTGTTAGTGTGAAATTCAGGGTCATGGTGGTATAACCCCAAGAGTTAGTGGTGAGAATGATCTGCTTGTTCATCCATGGATGTTCCAGAAACTCACCTGTCTCAGGGGAAAGGCAGAATAAATTCTAAGCCTCACTTGGTAGACGTGAGCGGGACGCGCATCTAGAAATGCGATCGTGCCCTCGGTGGGATGATTCTAAAAGCCCTTCGCAAGTGTTTTTCGTCCTTCCCACTTCATCCATTACCGAGTTCATGGTTCCATGCTAACTGCACGTTAAGAAAATAATGTCCCTTCTTAAACTCGAACACTTAAAACTGTCTGATACTATGTTTTTAGTGTTTCTTCTTTAAATTCACTTAAACATCTGTGCCAAGAATTTGAAGCGCTGCCAACATGTAACTGTGGAGTTAAGAAAACCAGAACCCTATTGTCATAAATGTGCCGAATTGTGCTGCTTATACTCCTAAATTCTACAGAACCACTGTGGTAATTTTTCAAAACAAAGCCCTGTAAGATCCAGAGGAGAGCAATGCCTACTACAAATCATAGTTTTTTTCTTCACAAATGATACCTTCTTGTCTTGAAAGTTACCTGTCTTGAGAGCCCTTGTGGATGGACTTAGCCTGTTTAATGAAACATTACATGGAAGGATATTTGCTACGAACCCAAGTCCACCAGCCAAAGTCCATGCTGCTAGACAGGCTTAGCACAGTTGTCTGAGGAGCAATAAGAAGCTGTCTTTTACTGGCATTTTCCTTAGTTAAAAAAAAGCTCTACGCACAAGTAATGCCTAAAATTCCCAGGATATGCAGCCACGTAGGAGTTTATGGGCACATTTCTAGATTTTTTTTTTTCTTGGAGGAAATGAAATAAATTTCAGGCCCATTGATAAGTGTGAGCTAATTGCTGTGTGTGTGTGTGTGTGTGGGTAGTGCCTTCTCTAAAAGAAAATGAGAAAAGGCCAGCACAGAAGAATGAAAGTAATTAGAGGCACATGGCAAGGGGTTTCGAATGTAAAGCCAGGCTTCTAGGGTAATATTCTGGTCTAGAAAGGAAGGCTGTACCCCAGAGCAGGGAGCTATAAGAATTGATGAAAAGGAGAAAAGTTAGATCAAATGTCACCGGGCCAAGTCCAGAAGACACATTTTCTTTGAGAAGTTATAGAGTTTTTCATCCACAACATGTTTCATTACTAACTTCTGGCCAGCAGAAACCAGATCATTCTGAGCCTTAGCTACCTTTTTGGAGTTCCCTTCTCAGGAGATAGTAGTTGCAAGAAAAGTGCCAGGCCCCAGGGCTAAGCCTCCCGTCACAACCTTTCTCAAGCTTCAAGGCCTCAGAAACCCCGAGTTCATCTGCTCAAAGTGCTGCTAAAGCAGCTCCTGAAACAAATGAGAAATGATTTTAATCTCAATACAGACTTAATCATGTGATTCAGGCAAAAACTACAGCCAGCCAGATTCCCAAAAGTTATTTTTAACCAGATTTATGCAAATACTCTCCATTGCTCAGTTTCACACAATATGATAAACTAACAAACCCTCTCCTAGTTTGCTCTCTATCCTAGGTTTGACAGATACTGAACTACAGTTGGCTGTGTATACATTGCCTTCTGTCTGAATTTTGGATGGTTTTATCCAGCATAAATGTGAATGTAGGGGGAGGGGCAAGAGAAGAGGGAAATAGGATATAAAAAGAATTTTTAAAAATAAAAATAAAAGTAAAGATGAATGTAGTCACCTTGCAGTTTTCTTCTACCTCCACCAAGAAAGACAGAGGAAGTGACAGCTAAGTACCAGTGAATAATTTTGGTTAGAAATTCTGCAGTGTGTTAACAAAAGCGTTTTATCCTTCTGGAATTATGGCAAAGCTCTACACTTTTGGGCCTCTGAAGGATTCACCCGCGGATGACAGTAAGTAGCTGTTTTCGGTTGCCAGCAAGGAGCACAGCAAAGGAAACAAAATGAAACCACAGCAGAAGGGACTAAAGTTTAAACTGAAAAGACCGCCGGAAAGGCATAGAACACACTGGCTCCTTCCTATGGAAGGGAGCAGCATTTCCTTGCCTGGAGTCAGCTGGTTTGAGAGCACAGGGGAAGAAGCGCTTTGTAGGCCTACAACTCAAACATTCCTATCAACTTGATATGTGGTCATGTACCTTGGATGACAGAGATACAAAGTTTTGGTACCTAAGTTTTTTAAAAATGTTCTTCAGGCCTCCTAAGAGATGCTAGATGGATATTTCGACAAATCAGGAGAGCCTGTCCAATTCTGAGGAAGAGTCCATGAAACCATGAGATGAACTTTGCTGGGTTTTTTAGAATATTTTAAAAGTTATTTCACACTGGAGTTCCCACAGATTCCAAAAGGGAATGGAAAATGAGATAAAGTGTCCTTCTCTGCTAGCACTGCCCCTGGCACTGTGTAAAGCACACCTGAAGCCAGTCATCTTCCAGGGCTATTATTTCTTGGGAAGAGAAGAGACCATCTCTGTCTCTGCTCCTCCCATTGGTACTGCATCCCTTGAGCACTAGCTCATATTCACAGGCAAAGAAGGTAATGTGCAACTTGGTCCCCCTGCCAGAACCTTTTTTTTGCTTCCTCAGTTTGTTTTATTTACTTATTTATTTATTTAGCCTCCTCAATTTAGGTTCAATAACCTGAGAGTGAGGTGCTGTGAAGATCAAAAAGAGGGTCACTTTACTCTTCTTCCATGGCTTGCAAGGCCAGCGTATAAAAATACACAAAGGTGGAAGTTGGTATTAGGAGCTCCTACTCTTTTGGGAAAATTCGGTCAACCAGGAAATTACAGGCTCGGTTCTAGTCCTGGGTCAGCCTTTTGTTGACTGTGTGCTCTCAAGAAAGTCATGAAACTTCACAGGGCCTCCACTTCCTGATCTTTGAAATGAAGAATCATTCCTAGTTTATTGTCCTACTCTTCTGGAAGTATGATGTGTTTGATATGCTGAAATGCCATCATTTTCTCTTATTTCCTTTGGTTTTTCTTTGGAACTCTGATCACTGTACAGACAGTTATCTGTAATTTAGACAGCAGAAGCCAGAGAAGATGGAAAGGAAGAAGAAGCCTGTATGGAAACAACTGTTCTGGCTTCTTTTGGCAAAAGAGAGTGAGCTTACAAAAGGCCTGCTAACTGGCCAGAACTGTGCACTTTCCCCAGGAACTAATATGTTCATCTGAAAGGAACCAAGGTTCTTTTAATGGAAATAATGGATTGTAGTTAAATCAAACCTTTACTAGACGTAAGTACTGTGGATTCTGAAATGTTTAATGGGTTTTTTGTTTTGTTCTTTGTCTTTTTTTAAAGCAAAGACACTCTTGTAGGGCAAGCAAAAAAGATTTAAGTTTGTTGTCACAAAAATGCTGGGGGGGCAGAAATACTGGCAGCTAATGAAGAGAAGAGGAACCCAATCAAGAGACCCTAAGAGAGACATTGCGTGGAAACGTTTCAGTTAGTAAAATAATCAAGGGCCTCAATTCCGTTTTAACAGTTGTAAGTTTTAAAAAAGGAATAAAGAAAAAGCAGAGCAAGGGAGGAGGAGAGAGGGAAAGGTTAAGCCCAGATAGAAACTGTGAGGAGATAGATGTGAAAGGGGCTGAAAATAAGTGAAAAGTGAAAAATTGCTTTATGAATAAACCGTTAAAAAATAGTGAGTGAAAAAGCGATTGTGCTTCCAGTTATTACTGAATCACAAGCTTGTGGAAGCCAGAGGCTGACCTGAGCCGCGACTCCACGCTTAACCTACATTGCAGCAGTTGGTGGCAGCAGTTCCTGTGGGCGGACACTGTTTTCTACTTGAGTGTTCAGTTTCATTGTGATTTCCCTCCACTGCAGACGGCGTGGCCATTTTACCACTCTGAGCACACAAAAAACATGACTTGGTCATCTCCCTGACCTGCTAACCCTCCACGAGAGGTGGGAAGCTCAGCTGGACATACGGTGCAGACAAGCTCAGGGCAAGGGTGAGGGACGAGGGTGGGGGTCTTTCTGAGAGAAGGAGAAGCTGAGAAGCTGGTTAGGCCTGCAGCGATTGCCTGCCTTTGTCTTTTCCTGAAAGTGGCAAGGTCATTTCACATTCAGTGTTCTTCGTCATTCCTGGTGGTGTGTTCCCACAAGGTCATGGTGGCCCAGGCACAAGTATCCCCTGGGCCGAGAGCCGAGAGATTATCCTTCTCAGGAGCACATCAGGTCTCAAGCATATTAGATGAGATGCCAAACACAGACACCCTAGCAGCAGTAGCAGCAGTAGCAGCAGCAGTAGCAGCAGCAGTAGCAGCAGCAGCAGCAGCAGCAGCAGCAGCAGCAGCAGCAGCAGCAGCCTTGCATACTTGAGGAAGCACAGGGAGTAATACTAGGAAATGAACCGGTTCTTCCAGTGTAACTCTGCCCTCCTCCCAGATCCTC